GCCTAATACCCTGAGACAAGTATGGCCTATGGCCTTCTGTGGCTAAGAAGGAAGTGGGTTTTGGAGACTCAGGTGGTGCCCTATACATGGTCTTGTCTCATAGTATGTGTTGGTCCTCTGCTATGCTCTGGGAATGCAAAGATGAATAGAATATGTCCTAAATGGTTGCACAGCACAGGAAGCAGGGCACACAAGCAGACACCTAGCACAGCAAGTATCCCAACCCCCACCACTTGGCCTAACAGAATTTACCTGGGTTTCCATGTTTGCATCACTTTCTTCCTCTTATGTTCTTCTGCCCCACCTCCACTCTTCTGTCTGCTTTTAGATCCTATCAATGTCTTTTTGTACGTTTTTAACCTGTGCCAGTGCAACTTACCTGGCTGCATCCTCTAGATTCACTCTGTACCTGGATCTTTTGTTTCCATCAGGTTGTATTCACCTTGGGTTACCTATAGGCCCTTGGTCCCGGCCATATGCTTACAAACTCCAACCCCCTTTGCACCTTCACCCTCCTTGGCTTCTTGGCCACAGCTCCAACCTTCTTGGAAATGGCTTACATTGTCTTGATAGTATTTTTTTCAGTCCTCACATCCTAGTTCTGGTTGTGTTCTGTGTCCCTTGTGTACAAAAAGGCTCCTGTGAAGTCTTAAGTTTGCTTGCTCATTAATGAGATGAGTAAAACAATAAACTCTTGTTCTTCCCTAATGATTTATACTTCAAAATCATTATCTGGAAACAATCCCAGGAATCCCCCAACTCTTCTGTGAAAGGAGCAATGTGAAACCCCAGCAACCTCTACTAAATTGGGAGAATTTAGGCTTCGCCAGCAAGATGGACTATGTGTGCACACCACTGAACCATCTGTTTATTTTGTTTCACTATGAGTTCAAAAGGATGGAGAGCTGCTAATTTTTCTTTTTACCCAAACCACAGCATTTTCATAAGTGAAACCCAGACTGCACACCCATTCCCAAATCCTTTGGGGTCTCGATGCCAGATTCAACCCCCTCCTCTCCTGTCTTCATAATCAAGATTTGGCACCGAACATTGGTATGCAATGTTCTAAAAGTATCGAACTCTTAGCTGTTTGTCCCTGAACTGCTGTAACTGGCCTCAGGTTTCTGCAACAGTCACAAATCAGTGAATAGAATGTGTTTGCCACACGGCCTGAAGGTGATACACATATATAACTTCTGCAATCTCAGTCCCAAACTTATCTTTCTCCCAGATCTGGACCATTCACCCCAAACCACGCAGACTTTTAAATAACTAGCTGCTCAGGGATTAAATAACACAAACAATGGCACTTTTTAAAACATTTATATATATATAAAAAATTAAATATATATAATATATAGTGTGTTTGAGACTAAAAATATAGTACATAATATTTAAAAAAAAGGAAAACAAGGCAGAATAGGAAAAGGTGTGAGGGACACACAGATACACATTGCTAAAAATCTACGATGGTTTGTCCTAACAAAAATAATATTTTTTTCTCTTCTCTTAATTATCATCATGGATCCATTTATCATTGGAATTTGGGTGGAGAAAATTCAACTGGAGCCAGAAATAAAGGTTTTGCAATCCCAAGAATGGCTGGGGTAGAAAATGTGACCCCAGGGAGACTTGGGTCTCTTCCTGGTAAAATTGAAATCTTCTGGGCCACTATTGCTAAGGAGATTGTGGTAAGAATTTGATTGTGTTGGCAATTTGTTCTCTCCCCAGAGTTTGGGTGTTCTCAGGGGCTGCATTTGAAGAGCTCCAGAAGCGAACAGAAGAATGCTGGCCCACCAACTTGCAAAGGCCAGTGGTCAGGCCAAGCCAAAAGCCAGGGGTGGGGGACAGCATACTGGTAGGAAAGAATGGTAGTCCTATGCACATGGAGTTTATTATTATTTTTTAAGGGCAGGCTTGTACCAGAACTGCCCACTATGGCCCGTGATTTCTGCGCAGCAATTATTTCTCCAGGGACAGGGCCTGGAGCTCCCTCACAGTGATGCAAGAAAATGGGATTCTTCCCCCAATCTCCCAAATTCAGAAATCTCCCAGGCCACACATCTCAGTCCTTTCCACCAGTCCAGAGGCAAAGTGTCAGGACCCAGCTGTCAAAGTTTAGCCAGTGCTGCTTAGAAACAATCTGGCCTTTAGGAGAGATACCATGGAGGGTGGGGGTAAGGGGAGAAGGGAATGGGAAGTTAATTTTATAGCCTTTTCACAAAAATAAATGCCTGTCCAATGACATCTGTTTGTGCACCCCAGTGTTGTTATCACCTCGTCATGGGGCTTAGGAGCCTCACTAATTCTTTCTGATGACTCCTTCAACACACAGAGTGTTCGGTACCAGCACAGAACAGTGCCCAAGTTCAGGTCAACAGAACTAAAATGGGAGAGAATCCAGGGTTTCCGAGCCTAGGGTGGCCTTGGAAGGTCCTAGAGTTCAGCTGTAGGAATACCAGTGTCCACACAGCAGTGAGGCAGTGGCTGAGCCTCAGAGAAGTGACTCCAAATGGAATCTTGGCTTTAACATGGGTTTCTTCAAACCCCAATGGCCTAACATTGCTATGTATGTGGGTCAAGTGTACAAGGAGACCATCTAACTGCATTTTAAGGAGCCTGGGACTCATGATTCACAAGTTAACAATAGGTTACAAGTGCAAGAGACTCCCCTACAATGTGCTTCATACCACTGAGCACAAACAAAAAGCTCCACTCAAAATGGTGAGGAAAGCAACTGCTGGCATAAGGCAGGAACATTTTGACCAGACAGGGTGGCCAAGCTAGCCTTTTTTATTCCATGCCTGTATTTGTGAGAGCCTAGTATGCTCTCACTTCTGGATACTCTCCTTTCACATTTATGATGGGGTTTGCTTCATGCAAATCCTGTGGATGACTTTTGGGCCATTCCTGCGGAAGCAAGATGGGCCTCTACAAACAGAGACCATGGCTCACCCAGTCACAAGAACCTTTTCAGGATCCAAAGTTTATGTCAAAACTCCTGCACCACAATTCCCTTCACCAGTTCCCCTTGCAGCATGCTCCCTCATGGAGGGGTCAGTTGTACTCAGTTTTGACCTCCAGCTCAAGACACCTTGGACTGCAGGCTTCACCTTGCTTGGCAAGCAGAGCAAGCCGTCTCAGGCCAGGAGCATGTTCCTGAAGAACAAGTGGAGGGTGGATCTCATTTCTGACACAGAAGTAGGTATCTGTAATCTGGGAGTCCAATAAAGGAAACTCACCATGCCCTAGTCAGAGACAAAGTGGGAGCAGTACAGATAACCTGACTTCGGTCAGGTTTAGGATGGCTGACAAAATAATAAAGCCCATGGTAAAAGCTTCTTTCAGTAGGAAAGAACTCCCCAGTCCTGGCTTCCCATCCCTCTTTGATTGCATACTGCATCAAACTTCTTCCAAGGATGGGTAGCAATCCATCTGACCTCCCCAAATGAACACAACAAAAACAAAATAGTTCTAGGTTTGTGCAGCCCTTTTCCAGATTTTGCAGGCCAGAAAATAGGAGGCAATGAGATTAGGACAAGGTCATTCAGCAAATGGTAGCTGCAGAACTGGGTCCTGGATCTCCTGACCTCTAGCCTGTTACTCTTCCCACTAAAACAATAATGTCACAGGTGATCAGGATCACCAAGAACTGGGGCACCATGCTGAAGGACTTCAGCCTCAGACAACAGAGTCCTGTGACCAAGGGTACCTTCAATTCCCCGGACTAGACAAGCTATTCCACTTGGCCTAACAGACAGACCCCTACTTCAATTCTGATGGTGCAGAGTCTCAGGTGCAGAGTACAGAGACTGCTCCAGTTGCTGATGTTCCCTTGGCGCTTCCATGGTGCATGACATTATACTTATGAGCCCCCAGTAATGTGTTGGGTTGCAGAGGACAGTGACAGAGCTCCCGATCAGGCTTCCTTTCTCAACTCTCCTACAGTGCTAGCTGAGTTACCCAGTGACTTTAGCGCTGCTCTGCTTGACCTACTATTGAGACCAAAAAAGGGGAAATAAGAGAATCTGACAAAACCCAAAACAAAATGAATATTCAAAATAAGTCACAGTGTTTAGACTTAAAGTGTTTGGATTACCCATGGCTTCTGGTGTCTACAAAAATAAAAATTTGCATGAATTTACTTGCCCAGGGAACTACATTCTTAACAGACCTTCTCACTGAGCTCTCGGGCAAGGATTCTGCAGGAAGGTGTGGTGTTTCTGGGATGGAATATAGTTGGGAGGCTGTAAGTGTCCCAAATTGGGCCCACTCTGCAGGAACTGATCAGGCTAGAGTGAAAGAGGACACCAGAAGCTGCCTGTTAAGGTGGAATTGAAGCTACCTGCTTCCTGGGTATTATCTGGTCTCTACCAGCAAGGGGATGGTTGGGAATGTCACCTCACAGGCCCATCTGTAAGGGTGGTGATGGTCCATGGCTGATGAGCATGTAACTCATTAAAGAGAACATGACTAATGAATGGTGACCACCAAGAAAGGGCAAGGAGAATTCTGGGAATTGCACCCCCGTTGGGCTGGCTGCACTGGGGAGATGGAAAACAGCCAGCTCCAGATGTGGGTCCTTGGGAAGGCGAGGTGAGGATGGGTGGAGGGTTATAGGTTCTCGTTGGAGCACCTATTATCTTTGGTCAGAAGGTGGTGGCTAAACAGCAGTGGTATGGAATGTGTGTGTAGACATATGTGCACAATGTGTGGGATGAGAAAACATGGGCCATGGCATGCCTGCAGTGCCCTTTGAACTACTGTCTTCTTCTGGGTTAGTACAAGTTCTCTTTCAGGGCCATTTCTTGGCCTCTTCCCCCACCTGTCTCTCCTGACACTGTAACACTGGACAACCTGTCTGAAGCTCACAAGTACTGATTCCCTACACAACTGCACACACAGGGATGGTCATCCAAAGCTTGACACTCAAGGCACTGAAAGTGGAAGAAGGAATCTGATTGATCTGAGAAAAAAAAAAAAAAGATACTTAACCCAAACTTGTCTGGGGAGAGCATCTCCCATGTCCCCTGGAAGGTGGTCTCTAACCAGCTGGTAGGGCCTAAGGTAGGGCAGCAGAGTTTGAGAACCAGGCCCCATAAGAACTCTATCAGAACCCACCTGCAGGTGTGATAGGTCTCACCACCTGGCTGTATAAAATGGACTCAAAAGTGCTTGGAGACTGTAAGGTAATGGTGGGTGTTAGGAACCTGGTAGAGGACGGGTGCCCCCTTTCCTTTCCATTGGGACTTGTATTTGGGTGGGAGAACCCTACAGCTTTTCTTTCCAAATGAGGTTTTCATTGTTTTTTTGTTGCCTTTGAAAAATAGCCTTTAGCACCCTACACCACCCTATCACCCCCTACACAGGCTCAAGAGTTAAAACCAGGAAGTGGAGTAAAATACAGGGAGTAGGCTTGAGTTGCTCCCTCTGGTGTTGGAACTGGGAACTGCCATGCAGCACACAGGGATCTGTTGATGGTAACCAAGATGTGGTCCTGACCTTACTTTCTCCACCATCTGGTTGGCCCAGTACAGAGGAGAAGGAAAAGCAGCAGAGCCACTGGTGATTTCTGGATCATTTTCACACGCTGACAGGAGTCCAGAGTAGCAGCCAGATTGACTGCATTTTGATCCCAGCTAAGCGGGGGCTGGATCTGAACTCAGCGTTAGATCTGTTTTGTAGACAAGAGCTAAACTAAATGCAAGATACCATCTGCAGTCCCCTGAGGAAGGAGAGATGCACCCAGGGCAGACAACAGAAGGACTGGCCTGGCTATCCCCTTTTCCATCTGTCTGTACCAGAACCACCTATTCCATACTTCATGTCCCCTAGGTCAAAGCCTGCCCACTCCCATCTACCCCCCTTGTCCACTTATGGGAGACCAGAGGGGTGGGATAGAAAGGGAATGCTAAAAAGTGGCCCCTCTGTTCTCCCCAACCTTTACTTTCCCTGTCCCCATGCTGGGGTCAGGCAAGAGTGCAGGTCAGAAGAGACACATCCTCCCGAAGAAGAGGGAAGGGCAGGCCCAGGAGGCTGGGGCATGCGCAGAGCACCATCCTCGGGACGGGGTGTTTCCGGGAGACCTGCTCCCCACCTGCCACAGCGGGAGGAGGAAGGCTGAAAGGAGCAACGAGCTACGCCCCTGAATATCAGGGAACAGCTGTGAAAGCCTTCTCCTCTGCCCCGCAGAGATGCCCCAGCCAGGCTCCGGTCCCTACACGTGAGTCTGCATGCGCTGCTGGAATCGCTGGCCGTAGTCCGAATGCTGGGAAGTGTAGGAGAATCGAGTGGCTGTGGCATACTTGCCGATGGGGTCATATGCCTCGTATGGGGTCCGCTCCAGGCCGGAAGGTGGGGCCTGGGGGTAGCCCAGTCGGTAGGTGGGATACCCAGCTGCCCCAGGGAAGGGATGGGAGTTGAACTTCTCATAGTTCTCGTAGGACAGCTGGCTTGTTGTGTCAGTACCAGCTGGGGCAGCAGGGCCAGAGGATGAAGGCTCAGGGACATAGTCAGAGGTGGGAGCCCGGCTGTACGTATTGAGCTGGGCATAGCCACTGGAGTGGGAGAGACGGGATGAGGGGCGGCCATCAAAGCGGGTAGTGCCAGGGGCACGGTAGTCAGCATACAGCACTGCCCTGGAGGACGGGCGGTCTTCATGGGCACGTACATTATAGTAGCCATTGGTGGGGTCCTGCGGGGCAATGAGAGAAGAGAATGGGAGGTGGGAGTTCCTTCTTGAGGGGGATCAGGTCTCACTATGGGCTCTCCCCTGCTCCCATCCAGCACCACTCCTCCTCCTCTGCTCCTTCAGCAGACCTAACCATTCTTCATGCCTGTCCTCACCTCCTCCCAGTAGGATCTCAGCTTCCCAACCAGCCCTTATACCCAGCCCCAGTCCCTTTACCCACCTTCATCTCATACTCCTCCCGGGTGTCAATGGTATCACAGCGCAGGTCTTGCTTCAGGTCCACATCATCCTTAAAGGACTGCAGAGCAGGAATGGGGATCAGGATTCTTATCCCCCCCTTGCCAACCCCAACCGTATGCCCAGAGGCCACCTGCTAATGGAAGGGTCTGGAGTCAGGGCAGACTTTTGTTCTATATATTCTTTCCTTGCAGAGTATATGGGATGTGGTGGGAAGAGGCCAAAGACGTGAGCTCCAGCACTAATTTTGTTGCTAACATGCAATGTGACCTTGGGTATGTCATTGCTGTTATCTGGGACTACGTCCTCATTTCAGAGATGAGGGGATTGGACTAGAAAATATCTAAGGGTTTCCAATTCTGACTCTGTGTGGGGTAAAGAAATTCTAAAGAGGGCCATCCCTCACCCCCGCTCCCCCCATCGTCTACTGGAGGGAACTTAGCTTAGCATGAATGTGTGTGTGAGAGTGTGTATGTGTGAGTGTATGTGAGTATGCATGGGTGTGTTAGTGTATCAGTGTACTGGTGAGCATGTCGGTGTGTGTGGGTGGGGTGACTTCACTGAAGGAGGAGAGATGATAGCAATTATTAGATACTGGGTGGGGTTAGTTCTAGGAGTATGAAAAAAGCACTAAGCTGGGGAGGAGCAGGACCCTCACTGAATAGATGGCCTTCATGACCCGGGTCGCTGTGGATACGCTGGCAGTATCGTCCTCCCGGTCAGAATGCATTGTGAGTGGCTCTCTGTTCACAGTCTCCACCTTGATGTCCAGCTTCCTTAGGGTCACATCCTTTCGACCTGGGACAGGGAGATACAGTTGGGCCAGATGTTGTTTAACTGGCCTCTGTAGTGGCCAGCAAATTGCCAGCCTCTGCTGTGCCCTGCAAAGAGGAGAGTGCTGTGGTTGTGAAGAGCCTATACTCACTGCCTTTGCGGCGCCGGTAGAGGAAGAACACCAAGGCGATGAAGAAGAAGATGAGCAGGATGCCTGCGCCAATTGTGGCCCCAGCGATGATGCCCACAGGTAACACCTCTTCCGATGGGGGAAGGAAAGGAGTAGAGGTGAGGATGGAGCCACACTGGGATCTGAGCTCAGTGTTGGCTGAAGGTTCAGCCGCAAGGCACAGTGGCGATCCTGGATTGTGTATACAAGGCTAAATTTTGATTGAACTTGTGGATTCTGTGAGATCTGAGAGGTCTGGTTGTGGTTGGACTGATGACTGTGCTTCAGGTGAGGTCATGGTTGTGTACAATCCCTGCAAGCTGTGCCTCAGCTTGACCCTGGCCTCTTGTTGCCTGACTACCTCTTTTGACCCACCTGCCCATGAGGCCTGGTTCCTCCTTCCCCGGCTCTTGTTTGAGGTCAGCTGTCTCCAGATTTTCTTACATGCCACCTGTGTTTCAACCTCCTTCTTCATACAAACTGTATGCCTCCTCTATCTGCACTGCATTGCTGGGGTTCTGACATTCCTCCTTATTTCCCTCTGCTTCCCGAGCTGAGAAGGAGCTCATGAATCCTGCCTCTGGCCTTCTATCTCCTATGGGCAGTCCTTGTTGGATCCACATCCTGTTTTTTTCCCTGCTGAGCCCCACATTACTTTGTCTACCACACTTCACCCCTCACAGGCAGCCTCAGCTAAATCCGAACTGTGGGTTCCCCATCTGCAGTATCAATGACTGGTTCTCAACAGTCCCTCCAAAATAAAAACTAAATAAAAAACAAATGCTATCTTTCCTTCATCAGACTTGAGAGTGCCCCAAAGTCAAAGATCATACTTCCCTTATCCAGACAAGCCTGAAGAAGGGAAGTGACTCTCTTATCAGATTAAGGATTCTTGAAGAGGTGTGTGTGTGTGTGTATGTGTGTGTGTGTATTTGTGTGTGTGTATGGGAGGGGACCCAAACTTACTAAGCACCTATTATATGCCAGGCATTTTATTAATATTCTTTCATTTAATCCTTACAACAACTCAATGAGGTAAGAAAGTTTAATCCCTTGTACAGATCATTTGATTTTCTCTGAGTTCATTTGCTTCTATCTTGTAAGTTACTCCACTAAGCTGAAAGTTCCTGTTCCTTGTGGGCAGAGACTGCATGTTGTTCATGGATGTCCCTATAGAGCCTGCCTCATAAAAGTACTAGATAAATTTGTGAGCAAATTTCCCTGGCTGCACATGGAGGCCAGCTTCTTTCTGGTGGTGACCCCCAAGAGAAAGAGTTCTCTCCCTCTGTGCTCTGCCCCGGGGAGAAGAGGGAGGAGAATTCCCAGGTTGCCCTGTACCCCAGCCAGACAGCCAGCATGGCCAGTCACCTCGCTCTTCCAGCTGGATGATGGCTGTGCCTGGTCCGAAGCTATTCCAGGCAGTGCAGTTGTAGTGGGTCTGGAAATCGGCCTCTATGACATTGTTGATGGTGAGTGTGGACAGCACCCCACTGCCCAAGTTTGTCCTCTCCACTGTATAGCGTTCCAGGGTCCCCACCTCCAGGAAGTTCTCCTTCCATGCCCAGGCCTGGGGTGGAGAGGACAGGAAGAAGGTAAGAAAGACACAGGTGGCAGAAGCATGTGCCCTGGTGTCACCTAATCCTCCCTTAAGATACCTTCACTCCCATGTGACCTGTGTGCCACCAAGTCCAGCCTAACACTCATCAGGTAACAACCTACATCAATCAACTGAACCCTTGGCACTGAACCTCCTCTCTAAGAGGAGCAATGGTTCTCAAACATGGCAAACTTCAGATTTACCTAGAAAGACTCTTAAAAATAGATTCTTGAGGCTTATGTCCTAAATATGAATGTCCTGAGAGTTTTTTTTATAGTGATCCCGTGTGATGTGGATGTAGTTGATCCAAGGAACTGACATTTGGGAACCCCAGATGTTGCTGAGAAAGTTCTGAGTTGGGTCTAGAACCCTGGCTTCCTATCCTGCTCTCTCCCATCCCAGAGTCCCTGTGTAGCTTCCCTTTCCCTCTCTACACCTCAGTTTCTTCATCTGTAAAATGAAAGAACCAGGTTAGCACTGGACAATGCTTCAAGGTTTCCTTCAAGTCTAGCCTGAGATTCTAATCACACACAACTCTGTCTTCAGTCTTAACTTTAACCAACACACATAAACCTGCCTGGCTGTATCTGGAGACCCATCTAAGTGTTCTTATAACAGGCAGGAAATAGAGAGGAATATCCCCCCAGTCCTTCTATCCCCGACCTCCTGATGGAGGCATTTCCCCATGTGTCCTTTCTGCAGAATGGAAGCTAAGGAAGGGGGAGCAAGCATTGGCTCCTTTCCAGAGATCAATCCTCCTAGCTCTGCAAGGAAAGCCCCCCGGGAGCCAAGCCGCCTGCTGCCTGGGCAGCCGTGGTAATGAAGTGTCCCTGGACAGCCCTGGAGTTAGCCAAATGGTCATTAAATGTGATGAGGGGTTTGACGGTTAATGGTCATGGAAGGAATTAATGGCTCATGGTGTGGGGAAGAGGAGAAAGGAGGAGGGAGTGGTGAGGGGCTGGTGAGAGGAAGGCAGGAGAAGACAGAGAAGAGTGGGGCAGAGTGAGAAGAAGAACTAATGGGGAGGGAGGAAAACACAGAATGAGGGAAGGAGGGAGGAGGAGGAAGGAAAGAAAAGGCCAAGAATTACATACAAGGATGGGAAGTGAGGGAGGACAGAGCAAGCACCTTTGCTGGGAAAGTGCAAGAGGAGCTAATGGTGACCTGAGTACCAGATGCTCCACTAGACTCTTCACAACTGTTGGTACAGTAACTTCTCAAGGCAATTCTATCAGTACAGTTTTTGGCCTCTGTTTTTCAGATAAAGAAGCAGGTCCAAAACTAAATAATTTGCTCAGGGTCACAGAAATAAAGGAGGAGATGGGATTTACACAGGTAAAAGAATAGGCAGACAAGGCATTGAATTTGAAGACCAGAAAAGGGATGAGGAAACTGAGGGTGCAAGCTGGAGGAGCTGGGCAAGTGCAGAGAAGAGGGGCTGGCTGTCCAGAGGCTGGTCCCAGCACTCACAATTCGGTCAGGGGGTGGTGTGCTCCCAATGAAACACTCCACCTTGCCACCATCACCCCTTACAGCATACTGCACTGCTTCACTGGAGATAATGGGAGGCCCTGGAAGCAAAAAAGTCACAGTTAGGGCCAGGCAGAAACTGCAGCACCTGTCTACCAGGCCCCCACCGCACTCAGGCCACTCACCGTTCACATAAAGTGGTACCTCCCTCTCAGCCACACCGATCCGAGGCACAATGGCTCGGCAGGTGTAGGTGCCAGCATCTGCCTGGGTCACCGACTTCAGCAGCAGCTGGTTGCTGTTACTCAGGACCTGGGCAGAGAGAGCAGCCTCGGGTGGGGAGCCAGGAGGCCTGGGCCCCTAGGTCCGTGAGGGCCCCACATTGGAGGCATGGGAAAGAAAACAGGAAGGGCCACAAGTGAATTCCCCAAAGGGAAAAGGGGGTCCCCAGTCCAGTTGATCCATCCCCTGACTCTAGACACCATCATTATAGTAGTGGGCAGGGACAGGATGGAGGCCAGAGAGGGCAGGTGATGGCTGCAATAATTTTAAAAGGATACCGTCCCTTCTGCTGATCTGTTCTAGTATTTTTATTGCCAAACCAGGTAACATTTTATTTTGAAAGTCCTCTTCCTACAATTCTGGCTCTAACTGTCTAATGTGGGTCTCTAGAGCTGTAGAATCAACCTCTTCTCTGGTGCATCATCCCAGCTGCCTCATTTTCCTGTCCACCATTAATTTACCAGATCTTTTGCCAGTGTAGCATCATCACCTCAAACCCTCATCCCTCCTTCCACCTCACTCTGAATCCCATGCAAATACAGGAAAGAAGGAATGAGGCTGATTGCAAGTACTGTGCTTCTCCAAATTTCAAGACCTTAGAAATATCCCAGATTGAAACCAAAAAATAATCCTGGCCCTCCCTTTGCTCATGCACCCCTGTGACCATGCCCTTTCCTCCCAGCACTCAGGATGGGTAGAGAGAGACTTACCATGTTTGAGTCCTTTTTGGTCCAGGTGAGGGTGAGGGGGGGATTCCCAACCCAGACACAGGTGAGGGTCACATCAGAGCCAATGTCTGTGGTTGTGGGCTTGGGGTCAACTACAATTCGGGGGGCAACTGAAGGAGACAGAAGCAACTCATCAAGGTCTCAAGGGGGGCCACTCCAGTAAGCCCCTCACTTCCTTTTCCTGCCCTGCTACCTCCCCATGTTTACTCCCCTGTCTCTACAGGTTCACTGGGCCTTGCCCAACCTTCCACCTGAGGCCTTTGAAGGTTCCTGCCCTTCCAGCTACTCACAGTGGACATTTACTAAAGTGCTGACGTTGGTGCTCCCCACTTTGTTGTGAACCTCACAAGACACAGGTTCCGTGAAAAAGGAATAGTCCACATTTGTTTCATAGCGACTCTCGTGGGCATCTTCTATCAAGAAACCCCCTTTGGCCCACCTGGGGGAGGAGGCAACATAAGAGTGAGATCAGAACTTGGAACCCTCTCAGTTGTGCCCAAGGATGCTGACTTCTCCGGTACCCCCAACCACCCTGGTCTCAAGAGCCTCTCCAGTAGCCCAACCCTTTCACCTGTAGCCCAGGATCTCAGGGTTAGCTGTGGCCTGGCATGTAAAGACAACACGTTCACCCTCCTGCACGGTCTGTGGCTCAATGGACAGGGTCACTGTAGGGGGGTCTGCAAAGTAAGAGTCAAGAGGTCTTTTCTGTCCGTCAGGTTTCTTTTTCCCTCCCACTTAAACTTAAGACCTCACCATTCTGGTATGCTCTGAGAATTTGTGCTTGCAGTATACCAGGTCCAATAAATAAGCCATCTCCTTTACTTTTTCTACACAGAGCCTCTAGGGGGCTGGCTAGACTGATTGACCACCAAGGATGATACCCAAAGGACAGATTATTCAATGGATGCAATGACCCACTGATACCACTAGGCGTCGGTATGGGCTCGCTTGGCTCATTAAAAGGGTGAGAGCATCACCAATTGCAGCCCCTCCCACCCCACTCTGCCCCTTAACCCCTGTGGTTCCCTGGGCAGAGGGAATTTATTGAGCACCTACCATGTAAGCCTACTCTATTAATACTAGATGCCCTTCCACTATCACTTACTTAATGCTCACAATCCCTCAAAATAGGTACAGGTTCACAATCCCTTATCTGAAATCCTTGGAACTGGATGTGTTTGAGAATTTGGAATTTTTCAAATCTTATAAAAGTCGTGTTGTCATAGCTTCTTTACAGTGTAAGATTCCCCAGAAGTGTCTGGGCAACACCCTTCAGTGACACACATGAATACCTCTACAGTGAAATGTATGACTCTTTGGCTAAATAAGAAAATACAAGGAGCCTGGGTACAGGCTTTGCTACCCAGTCACTTTTGTTTGGAATTGTGAGTAAGGGACCCTAGACCAACATTTTTTCTTCTATAATTATCCAGAATTAGAAATGGAGGCTCAGAGAGAATAATCATTGTCCAAAGTCACACACTGGTTTACACCAGTCCTCGGTGCCCACAGTTCAAACAAGGGAATTGAAGGAGATAAAGAAAGCATTTGTCCTGGGGTCTCAAGGTTTTTAATTCTCAAAGGTTTTCTATATCCCATCCTCACCTCACTGTCCCAGACTACTCCTCCCCAGGACCCCACTCACGATGCACGTCGAGCTCTATAGAAGTCTCCCTGCCACTGGGGATGGCCTCATTCATGCTGCGGCAGGTGAAGACACGCCCAATGTCCAGGTCTGTGGGGTTGATGAGCAGCTGACTGATGGTGGTCTCCCTCTTCCCATCGTTTAGCAATTCCTGGGGTAGGACAAAGGTGGGAGATATGGTCAAACTAAAAAAACAAAACAAAACACAACAACAAAAACCAAAACCCCTCTGCTTTCAGGGGGAACTGAGAGATGGGCCTGGCCTGGAGGGGGACTTTACAGCTCAGTACCCTCCCCTGTTCTCAACTTCTTCTCCATGTTTTGTTTTTTGTTGGTGGTGGTGTGTTGTGTGTGTGTGTGTGTGTGTGTGTTTGGTACTGGGGTTTGAACTCAGGGTAGAGCAGTTTTAAGTTTATAGAAAAACTGAATAAAAAGTCGAGTTTCTGTACTCCTTCCTATCTCAGTTTTCTTTGTTATTAGCATCATGCATTAGTGTGATAATTTATCACAACAGATGCATCAATGCTGATATATTGTTACAAACTGAAGTTCCTAGCTTACATGAGGTTCCCTCTTTGTGCTGAACACTTTTCCCATGGGATTGGATTGAGCCTTAATCCTGGAATTCTCTGAGTCTAGTGCAAGTCCCTCCTTTTCTGGAAAGCCTTCCTGGGCCAGCCCAGCCCTCAGTGCTCTCTCCCAGCCTGAACTGGTGCCTTATAGTCAGGCCATCCTGCCAACCCACCTCTGTTTGCAGGTACCATGTGTGAATGTTTCTGTGTAGGGTCTCTCCTGCTAAGCTGCAAATTCCTTAAGGGCAGGGAAGGGACTTAGAGGTTAGAAGACTCACATTGGTTCAGTGACATCTAAGCTGAGATTACCAAATGTGGTTATAGGAACCCTCAGTTGTACAGCCATCATGCATCTTTTAGGGGCTGAGCAGTACCAGGCCAATGCATTAACAGTTATAAAGTTTTGAAGCACTATGATCTTAAATGAATGAAAAGGGGGAGTGGACAAAAATGGTATCAACAAATGGACTTGTTTGGCTGCCAGAATAGTTTAATACGAGTAGCCCTATAGGAGAAAAATAAGAGTTCTTGGTGATGAAAAGGTTAAGCCCTACTGAGGCCAAATGACCATGTATCAAATGGTGAAAATATGGCCAGAGAGAAGTGAAGTGATTGCCTAAAGCAATACAGTGCATTAAAGGCAGAGCTAAAGTTAGAATCCAAGTACCCCCGGGCTCATACTCCAGGAACACAGGTAGACAATCTCTTTCACAACAGTGACAAGTTTCTCCCACAGCACTCAACAAAGGGCTGGGTGCACATGTGTTTTTGCCTACAGCTAGAAGAAGGAACCCCAGTCAGATTTGGACTCTACTGCAACTTTGCCATGTGATACTGGGCAAGTCACTTAATGTCTTTTGCTGCTAGGGCTTCCTCATCTGTATGAACTATATAGTCCCTACTTCTTCAGCCTCTTACTTATGATTATTGTGATAATATGCCAACTTGATGCAGAAAGAAAAGATGAGAAGGCATCAGTGGAGAGACTGTGCAATCAGACCCAGGTACAAATCCTAATTCTGCTGTGATCTTGGGCAAGACACTCAACTTCTCTGGTCATCAGTTTCCCCCTTGGTAAGTTGGAAGTAGCACCTACTTTTTGGGACTTCTGTGAGGAGTAGGACAGACTCTCCATAAAGTGCTTATTATACTCAGTACCTGGCACGCAGGAGGTGGTTAATCAATAGCACCTACTATTACGATTACTCTTTATTTTTGCTCAGCTACTGAATGGCACAATGAACCTGAGAACCTACTTCTCTTCTCTGAACCTCAATTTTCTGAACTGTCCAATGAAAGTGTTGAGCCAGATGACTTCTGAAAGGCCCTTCTCACACCTGTAGCCCCCTAAGTCTGTGGTCAGACACATATGGGAAACGAAAGATGACCTGGGGCTGAGCCCAAGACAAGCCAGAGGAGCAGGCAGGTCTCACCGTGCTGGCCACAGCACCCTCCTGCTGTGTCCCATCCCGGAACCAGATGATGGTGGCGGCAGGCTTGGCATTGAAGGCTCGGCATGTGAGGTTGTGGGGGATGCCTGCTTGCAGCAGAATTACAGGGCCTCCATCAATCCTGGTGTCTTCTGGAGGGACTGTGAGAGCAAACCAAAGTAAGGCAAGAGTATAGCTAACACAGGCTCACCATGGAGGTGTCCCTCTATCTGCATGGAGTCTCCCTTTCTGCAGCGCGTACTGCCCCACCTCTAAAAACCACTGTGTGTACTGCTCCTGTGGTGGCTTCAACCAAGATCCTCAGCCCACAAGCTCTCCAGCCCCTATGGGTTAGTCTTTCCTACTTTGGTGCTTCACTCCCTACCACTGCTTAAGGACATATACTACAGATGGAGGGGTAGCCTCACACTTAGGAAAGGACTGGGCTATCTTAGGGTCTGAGTACAGCTCATACACTGGGGAAGGGTGTTTACCTTCACAGGGCTTCTTACATCCACCAACCCCCCAATCTGCTTCTCTGCTCTGCAGCAGCCAGATGGGTAAGCCCATTACAGCATCTCTGTCCATCACACTTTTAACAGGTTACTTTCCCCATGGCACAGCTAAGACTGCTACTCATCTGCTCAAACACCTTCAATGCTGCAACTGCCTAGGGCATGAATTCCAAGCACCTTGGCCTCTGGTTCTGGGGTCTTCTGCAGTTTCTCACTTCTTTGCTTTGTTTATGCTGTTCTCTCTATGTAGCATGTTCTCTCATCCTGTTCAAATCCCAGGCGATACACAAAGCTTCTATGCCCATGCACAGCCAGTCACTTAGAGCTCAAAGCACCCACTGTATTTGGGTTGCTTAAGACAATTATCTATCCCTGCCCCAACCAAAACTGTTATCCCTTGGAAAATCAGGCAGGATGCTGTCTCATTAATATTTGTATGCAGTCTCTAGTGCCTGCAATGTGTCCAAAGTAGGCTAAATGCTTATAGAATTAATTGATAGGTGTCTCCTGCTAGTAAATGGGGGCCTGTCTCTACTGTATCTTCACAGGTTTCTAAATGATAAGGTGAACCAGACCGTAAGTTCCCTGATGGCAGGGGCTCTTCTTGTTTACTCTTAAATACCCAGTGTCTAGCCAGAGCTTGGTGGATAGCAGATTCTTTGGGGATGGAGGGGGATATTTGGTGATTAATGAATGAGCAACTGATGGGTTAAAGGCAGAGGTTTTTCATTATAATCTTTTTGGCCCATTCACTGTTTGTCAGCCAGAAATGAGAAGGAAGGATTTTTTTTTTTTTTCGCTTCTTTTTGACAAAGAGGAGGACTCTGAGAGGAGACCCATGAGAGGAGACTGTGGGTGGCCTGTAGAGCTGGGAAGATGGAGTAGGGAGAGGGCAGGGGTGTCCTGTCCTGGAGTTTGTGAAATGAAGGTCTGTGCTGGGGTCTCCAGTAGAAGGGAACTGCCTATAGCTTACAGTCTGTCTGAGCCTTGTGTTCAACTCATGTACGCTGACTGGTATATTGGGAAAAGAATGGAATTTAGAATCACCTGCCTTGGTTTCAAATCATAGTACCTTTGGTTACCTGCTGTATAATGCTGGGTGAGGCCCTAAAGACACTGAACCTCCTTTTCTTCATCAGAGACCTAGCAATGTCCACTCATTGGGCCCTTGTGAAGGTTGGTGAAGTACTGTGTATACACTGTAATGGTAGCACGCTTGAAATGTGTATAATCTGTTAGCTTTACTCCCTGATGAAAACCAGCAATGGCTCTGGCTCCTGCCTGGCTAATTATCCTCTGAGTCCCTGGCTCCACCTCTTCACTCCCTGGTGTATCTGGTTCCAATGACAGATGGGGCCAGGTTTGGGATGGAGGTGGGAAAAAGCTTGAAAAGTAAAGAAATGTGGAGAGAAATGAGTAAGAAGCTGGAACTCAGGGTCTCCTGTCTTCCCAGGCCCCTCTAAGGTCACACCTTGCTGCCACCCTGGAGAGTAAAGTTCTGGATTAGCAGAACCCAGAGCCTCTATATGTGGAGACACTATGCACATCCAGACCTAGGTGTGTGGGGTCCCTCCTCTGGAGAGGGCAAAGGACTTCCTACCATTGGCCCTCTTGCCTTTGTCATGTTTTCTTTCCTTTGTTTAGGCAAAGACCATCCATCTGTCACCTCTGCCACCAACTTGTACTTCACTCTAGAATTTTGCAAAGTTTTCTAAACTCTGCCCATCCTCCATGAACCTATCACTGCCTACCATATGAAGCCAAAGGAAAATAAGGTGATGGAGGTGTCAGTTCAGCCACCATTAGAGGGAATGAGTCCATGTGTTTAAGAGCAAGTATTTATGATGTATGACTTAAATCTGTATATTAATATGCTCATGTGTCTGTAGCCTCAGTTTTGTTTGTAAAAAATCTCAAAAAATAACATTGACACTTACTCCCTAAGCCTGTTATTGAGGAGGTAAAAGGAGATCAAGGATACAAAGCCAATTGTAAACTGTTAAAGTGATCTACAATAATTTCTACCATTCATTGAATGTTTACTGTATGTCACCTAAAGCACCTCATATATATGATTTCATTTAATCCTTACCACAAAGTACATCTCACTAATTCCTTCATGGAAATATCATTAACTCCAATTTACAGAAAAGGAACTGAGGCTCAGGGAAGTTATACCAATGTGTTCAGAGATGAGAGAGTGAGTTAAGTAGCACAGCTGGGATGTGGCCCAGGCCCACCTGACCCCAAAGTCACACTCATCCCTGCTGTACTCCAGTTGTTATCACTGTGAATAATGAACTGTAGATCTCCAGATCTATATTATGTCTGTGTCTGCATCTGTGGGGGAGCAGAGGCCTTCCCTCAAAGCCAGCCATATGGAAGAAGGAAAGAGGCCATTCTGTGAAAAAGGTTGACCCGGGGAGGTGGAGGCCAGGAGGCCCTTGGTAGGGAATGATGGAAGTTTATAAGCCTGGCTGGTGTGTGCAGGGAGCAGAATCCAGAGCCAGCTACTCGGTTCTGCCCTGCCCAGTCTTTGGGCCCCAGGTTGCCCAAAGCCAAGGCTGTGGGCAGGTAAGCAGGAGGGGTGTAACAATGTCATACTTCTTACTGCCTTTGTGGGATGCAGGTGCTGGGATGTCTGGGGGCTCAAGAGAAAGCAGGGGGAGGTTCAGGAAAAGGTGTAACTGTACTGATCATTCCCAGCTTCCCTTCAGCTCTTGAGGCCTCTCCCTGTTCCTCTCATCTATTCAAGTCCCCCAGACAGACCAGGAAAGTCCCACCTCAGTTCCCTCCCACAAATCAATCATTTCCCCAAGTAACTCTGCCTCATTCACCTACAAGCTTTCTAACAAGGCACTCCCCCACCTAGGGCTGCCATTTTCATTCTCCTTCAGGAAGATTTCTTTGACCGAGCCAAGCCAATGGACACCTTTACAAGCCTTTAATCCCACATACTGGGTAGTTAGTTGACTTTGTGTAGTCTCTTTCTATCTCTCCATCAGTGTGCCTTGTTAGGAAAGAAGCTCTCCAGGGAAGAAGTAGCACCTTCCAGGCTTCAAAATAGAGGTAGTTAGGAAGGAAGAAAGAAGGAAGGAGGTGTTGTAAGTCTTGTAGTTCCCTTGGAATGTTGGTCCAGTGCAGGCTCACATAATCCAGCAAGGGATGGATATAACATTTTGGCATCTCATGCTCTTTTCTAATTCTTGCTTTCTAACCTCAGGCCTGATCCTGGCTAACCATTCCTTTTTAGTCCTAGAGAGGAAAAGCAATCCACAGCCAGCCTTGAATCTTAGTCCTTTGGGGCCTTCACATCCAAAACAAAACAAGACAAACAAAAAAATGCAACCAGCTGCTGTGTCCCTCCAGTCTTCACTTATTCTGACACCTCACATTTGCCCAGATCTTCATAGTCACTCGCTATGCAAGGAGCATGAGGCAGCCATTGTTAAGAAAAAGCTGGTGGTGTTACGCTACATTACCATGCCAGGAAGGAAACCCATGCCTACGGGTGTGACCCCTTCAGGGCCATGGTGCCAAAATGGCCAAGGCACAACTGCAACCCAGCCCTCTGAACTCCCAGCAGCCCAGAAGTCTTTCTGCTACACCAGTACAATTTGTCCATTCTCACTTCCCCCCAAATGAGAAGCATCCTGGTGTCCAAACTGTCTTGTTTCAGCCTCTCTCTCCTTACTCCCCTCTTAATGACTTCTGTTTAGAGTGATGGAAAAGAGATGGAGCAGAATAGGTCAAATGGAGGTAGGAAAGAAATAGGACAGAGTCAATAACAAAAGGAATAAGGTCATAGGCAGAAGGGTCCAAGCCAGAGAGAGAAAACACAACCCATGTAGAGGTACCTCAAGACCACAAAGCTGGGGAGACAGAAAGACCAAGGTTTGAGAAACACAGAGAGGCAAAGGGCAGACCACAGATGGCTTCGCTTCTGTTCTGTGTGCAGGAGAGTCCTCTCATTCTACAGATGGCCCCAGGGGTTACCAAGAGGAACATCTGCTCTGCTCCACTGTGGATTGCTGCTGCGAGCATGGTTTCAAGAGATGACCCTCCTTTAGCTATAGTGGGAAGCTGACACAGCAGGACCCATCCTTAGCCTTTCCAGGTTCAGCTCTCAAGGCCCATTCCTCTTGGTCCTGCTCCCCTGTTCCCTGAGGAGGCTCCTGTGTGTCTGAGAGGAGAGGCAAGTGCTGCAGGAGGAAGAAACAGCCAGGCAGGAAGGACTGAGTAAGGGTGGGGCTGAGAGGTGGCAGAAGTGGGTGGAAGGGAAAAGGGAGAAGCTCCCTCACCAATAAGCATTGATAGGGGAGCCAGAAAAGAAGAGCAGGGCCTCCATTACCCCACAGTTCTCATCTCCCATGGAGAGAGCCCCATCTCCCATGGAGAGAGCCCCATCTCCATAGCTTTATGTCCCAAAGTGAGTTTGGGTCCCTGGAGTGGCCTAGTTAGAGGATGAAGCAGAAACAGTGGCTGCCAGACCCACAAGACCCATATTGCCTAGCAGCGGCTGCCCACTACCCCCTTCACTCTCTTCATCTGCTCTGGTTTTGGAAGAAGTTTAAGGGAGGAGTTGTTCAGGGGAGGGATTGTTCAGGGAGAACTATGGACAGAGTGGGAATACTGGGGGCAGGGCTAAGACCAGGAAATTAAAGAGGGAATTGGAGAGTGGGAAAGACAGGGCCTGGTAGCACTGTGAGGCATTGAATCATTACTGAGCACGGTGAGTTTGGCTCTCCGGGAACGCAGGGCAGCCTCTGTGGCCTGGCACTCATAGGAAGCATCATCAGAGAGCTCGGCATCTGTGATCTCCAGGTTGTACTGTCCAGCATCTGCAGAGCCCACCACCTGGTACCGAGGCCAGGCTGATAAAACAGAAAGGATGAGGGTTAGTGTAATGCTTAGCCTTACAGCTGGAACCAACCCTACCCTGGAAGATGCATCGTCTCCCCAAGTTGTCTCCAAGCCAAGACCCACATCCACTCTAGGCCAGCACTCCTCCCTCTGCCCTTCTGTCCTCCATTGACCAGTGAGACCATGAGGTCCCAGACAGACTCCATAATGCTAGGGACCCCACGGTGAGGCTGGAAGACATAAAACAGGAGGGGCAGATGGGCTTGAGCAGGAGCAGATGAAATCTCTGAAGCTGTTTGCAGACAAATGTCTCTCATAATGATAGCAAAGAAAGAGAGAGAAAAAAAAAAAAAAAGGCTGCCAGTGGGGAGGAGAGGAGAGGGAGAGAGTGTGTGGGCGCTGGGAAAAATAGGGCATCTCAACACAGCTCACTGGGGCACCTCTGTGGGGCTCACAAGACAGAGGGAAGCCCAGGACAGGCCAAAGCCTTGTTCCACTTGCCACAGGAGGGGGATGAGGTAGGGCCTGCTGGCTTCCTAAAGGAGCCCCTAAGCCAGAATCCCAGTTCCTTGCATCAGGAATGGCTGAGGTGGTGGGCTTCTGGGCATCTCCCCTTCTCAACTTAGTCTCCCGTGCCTTCCTTCATATAGGTACCCACCCACCCCACCACTCTCATGCCCTCCTCTCTCCCTCCACCATCAGCTCCCTCCCATTATCTCTCTTTGTCTAGAGGCTATCGATTCTTCTCACTCCATATCTATTGATCTCACTCTCTCCCAGTTTCTTTCTCTCTCCATCATCAATAGATCCACTAACCCATCTCTTTCCTTTATACAGATTGCTCCATGAAGATTTCCCCTACCTGCACTAATACATGGAGCCCACAGAGAAGAATCTCAGCACCCTCAAAAACAATAAAGCTAGAAATATATAGCCCTCCCTACACTTACACTAATTCAGTGCTTTATAGGTAACAGTGTATTTTCAAAAGCATGTTCTCCCATTTGAGGCAAACCCACAGCTGCACTTTTAAGGTGGGCAGGCCTGGGACTGTTACACCTGTTTCCCAGATCAACAGACCAAAATCTAGAGAGGGAAGTGGCTCTCCTCTTATCAGGTGGCAAAGGCAGGTCAAGAGCCAGGTGTCCTGACTCCTCATTCACTCTGCCAGGCAGTCTTTCCAAAGGTTCCTATGCTTGCTTTGGAACATAGAAGATGGAGTTTTGTTTCTAACTAAATCATTTTGTCTTCTTTAGCACCAGCTACATAACCTGTACTTAATAAACACAGCTTGTTGAATGAATAAATAAATGCTTAGGCTGATGTTAAACAAGTTTTTGGCCTCTGAGAAGACATGACCTGTGCACAGGGAGGAGAGAGTCTGGAGCAGAGCTGGTCAGTGTGAAGCACTTGAGGGACATAGAAGGTGCCCAAGCTCCCCACCTAAGCAAGGGATGTACTGTACAGTGCCTCTCTGTCAAGCTCTCTTATATGAAGGTCTCAGTTTCCTTTGGTCCCCTAGGGAACCTTTTTTGAGCCTGTACAATCATGAGGAAAGGCAGAGCTGCTAGGTGGGAGAGAGAGTTCAGGAGGGGAGGAGAAGCTGAAGCATAGGAGTGTGGTAAGAAAAGTAAGGGGTGGCAAGTCCAGGAGTCCAGGATGGGAATGGGGAATGGGTGTGAAGATGTGACTGTCTGGATGCTGACTGGTGGGACAGCCCAGCTCACTTTTTTTCCATGCATGGTGCTGGGGATCAATCTTAGGGCCCTGCACATGATAGGCAAGCCCTCTACCACTGAGCCACACCCTCAGCCTGCCACTCACCTTTGAGGCCCTGACCCATACCCAGGGCTAGCCCATCCTTGGTCCACTGCACGATCCCAGTGTAGTTAAGGAGCACACAGGGGAGCACAGCCCGCTGTCCGGCCACCACGGTCTGGTCAGCTGGCTCCTGGCTGAAGCGGGTCTGGGTCCCTGGCAAAACCAAAGTCAGCACTGAGTAAGGAAATGAGTAAAGAGAGGCTTCACCAGCCACTACCCACCTCCCACAGGCTTCCACTACCACCCTGCATGAAGTATGAGGGAGACAGCCTCAGGCTGGGAAAGGGGGCCCCCAGTCCATGTCCCACTTCAGCACCAACCCCTTTTCTCCAATATGTCATGGGATTGCCTTGTATTCCATTCTCCCTCTATGACCCACAGGAATGGGCTTCAGGAACTAGAGAACACAGCAATCATAGAAGTGGCACAGCATTATGTAAAGGCCTTAGAAATGGCTCTGGCTCAGTCCTTTCATTTTGTAGAGCAGTATTAGGTTCAGGGAGAAGAGGAACTTACTCAATCACCCAGCAAAGCTGGGGTTAGAGCCCAAGCCCTGCCCTCCAGATTCTGGGCTCTTCCTTTATGACCACCTGCTCTTGCCCAGAAATCCGGGTTCATGGTGATGCATTCCTAACAATGGTGAATGGTGAAGCCCCCTAACACTCCAGTCCTTGCAGCTCAGGCAAATACATATGAACATACCACCATGACTCCTACTTGGACACAAGTCACGGGAGCCTACAAGAGCCACATGCAAGTTCGCCAGGTACAGTTCCCCTCTGAATGCATCCAGCAAGAGCAGCAAGGTAGATTCTATGGGGTAACCAAATCCATCATGTCCACATAAATCAAGTAGCTGTGAATAACTTCCTGGCTCACTGGCCCTGCTCCATGTGTTTACCCCTTGACCCAACTGCTGGGGATACAGGGGTGTACACATGAAAATACCTACATGCACTTAGCCTCCCGCACCTTGGGAACTGAGAGGCCGTGTGACTTTGTTCCACTCTCCCTCTGGCTGTGGGAGCTACACATGGCTGCCCGGCTGGCAGCTTGGCCGGGAGCATTTGATTAGAGAACTGCAGTGTAATTGCCTTTAATTGTGGATCCTAAATGGAGCAGGGAATTGGATTGCGGGTTTCTTCTCCCCCACTGCTCCCATCCACCCTCTCACTCTATCACTGGTCGGCCCCAGTGGTGGGGCAGGCCTGGGCACCACACAGAGCATGGGAGTGAGTGGAAAATGGAAGCTGCAGGCATCAGCTTCATTGGCTGAGCTTTGCGGGAAAGGAAAGGAAGGAGATGGAGTGCTAGGGGACAGCAAAGGGAGAGGCCTTTGCTGTTACATCTCCAATCAATCACAACCAGAAGAAAAAAAATCAGCTCTCTCCCCCAAATCAAGGGCTCCTCTTCTTTCTCTCCCAGCTCCCGGTGTCTTTGCAGAGGCCACAATCTCTAAATCCAACTCTTTCCAAACCCAGCTTTCTAAAACATCTCTGACCCATGATTACTCTTGTGTGTAAGCAAATATTACCCTTCTCCATTTCAGGACCTCCCTCTAAACCACTGCAGACACTACTAGTCCCCATCTCTTCCTGGCACTGGGGGTGGGACCCAGGGCCTTGCAGGTGCTAGACAAGCACTCTACAACTGAGCTCCATCTCCAACCCCAACATCCTAGTCTTATCCTCTCTCTTCTTTTTTTATCCTCCAGCCCCATTTCTCCCCTTCTTCCCAAATCTGCCCTATATTTCTTTCTTCCAGGATACCCTCTCAGATTGATTCCTGACCCCTTGGGCAGCCCTACTGAGGAAACTCAATCCATGGGATTTCCTGTCTGATGCACTCAAGGCTTATGCCCATGTTTTGTTTATCAGGAAATAGAAGGCAGCCCTGTCTTTTCCATGGAATGGCTGGGGTAGGGGATGCTTCCAACTTCTTCTGAGTCTTTCTGAAAGTTGGACATCCATCCATGTTGGTTGTGACTCACAAATGGGACTTAGAAGTTAGTGGCAAGAGCCAGGAGTAGACTGGTGGACAGAATATGTCGCAATGACACAGCCTTTTTACTTTTGGTTAAATGAACAAATTCAGCTCTTTGGGTCTGCAGGGGTCCAGGAAGTTAGAAAAAGGGCCCTTCTCCCACACTTGTAAGTGGCTCCCCAACTTTGCAGACCTGACTTCCATTCATACCTCCTAAGGAAGATAAGGTTCACCCACATTTCAAGGGATGATGATGGCAGGTGCTAAGATCCTGGGGGAAGGGTGGGTCAGGTGAGCAGTCAGCATTATTAATTCAGACATTGCCCTCATTATTATTCAAATTTATTCATATCCTTGCGCATTTCTGTAGTGCAGCTACATGCTGCGAACTCTCCACACTCACGTTTCTCCTTCCCACAGCCCCCAGAGCCCAAGTCAAGGGCTTGAGAGTGGGGTGACCAGTGATCCCTGGCCAGGAGATAGAATTTATATTCATAGATTTCCTGCATGGAGGCTAGACATCCTGGTCTCTTGTTGAAGTCTCCAGAGGACAGTGAGCAGCTTGCTCCTCATCTACTCAGAGTGAAGTGGTGGCTGACCCTGTGCCAGGATGGAGGTGGGAAGCATCTGGAGTAAGAGTCAGGAAACAGCTATCTTGCCTGACTGAGGAGCAGGGTGATCTTGGATACATCTCTTCCCCAAGTGGGCCTCCATTTGCTTACCTGTACAATGACTAGTCTGGAGTAGACTTGAGCACAAAGGTTTCTTTCTGCTCAGATACTGGGAGCATAGGCTTAGGAGGCAGGCTAAGGTTTACATTGTACCTCTGTGGCTTCCTAAGTGATATTGGCCAAGTTACCCTCTAAGCTTGATTTTCCTCCTAGGTAAACTGAGAAATGATAATACCTACCTTCCAGATACTGTGAAAGTCAATGTGATGAGGTATATGCCATGCCTGACATAATCTTCTGCGTGTATCCACTAATGGTAGTGCTATGATCATTATTTACCCTGAGCAGTTAGACAACTAGAGGTAGAAAATTCAAGGACTATTGGAAACCTGAGCAGGAATGTGACAAAGAAAGTATATTCTGTCTTTCTGGGGATTTTTAAGTAAAATTTGCTCTTGGTTTAGGCCTGGTTGAAACAATTTATTCTGGAGACCAGGAATGAATGGAAGCAATCACCCAGTACAAAGAAGAAGAAAAAGAGGGGATCTCAGAATGTTACTTCATGGGAAGGCTGCCTACATCTCTTCCCTGCTCAGGATTCAAATAGTCACCTCATCTGGAAAGTCTTCCAAGAGTTGCTTGCTCAGAGGCCCTAATACTCACTTCTCACTTCTGCTCTAACAGAGACCATGCTATACTGGCCACCCCTCTATCCCCAGTCCAGGGGCAACTCCTTAAGTCTGGACTATGTCACTCACGGCTTGAGACCCATCACCTGGCACAAGGCCTGACTGCCAAGCACACCACAGGTGTTCCAATCAGTCTGCTGATTGATGGAGTGTAAATGAGCAAATACCAAGTCAACAGTCTTGCCTTGTGAAGCCCCAACCAGGAAAAGGGGCCGATCCCCCTTTGCCCCCTTACACACACACACTCAAGTTAGCTTTACCTCTTCATCAGAGGCAGGGCAGCAAGGTAAAGGGGACAGTGAGCTCTCTCCAGTAGGGGGAGTAACAGTACTGGAGCAGGACTTGGAGTCAGTCCTGGAAGGCTCCCTGAGAAGAGGAATGGGGAGCGAAGCTGGAAAGATAAGGAAAAACTGACTCTGAGAGGAAGTGGTAGAGTGGAGAATGCCTAGAAAATGAGCAGAGGGATGCAGGCATCAGGCAAAGCAAGCAGCTCATTAGCAAGAATGTATAGGTGTCCTAGCATTGTAAGATGAAAAGGAGGGACAAAGGAGGGAGGAAGTGTTGGTGTCCTTGAGTGTTAAGAAGGTGCCAACAACTCAAGACACATAGCCTAGCAAATGACATATACGACACCCAAGCACACCTCCAAGGTTCTGGGTACCCAGCTATGTATGCTAAGCTGAGCCTTCCTTGAACTGGGAGTGACATTTCAGTCCCATTCTTGTGCCTGAGCCCACATCCAGGAAATAGAAGCAAAGCCAAACAGCAATGCAGGGAAACTGCTGGCTGCTGGTTGGGGAGTTAGGTGGGAGGGGAACAAGGAAGATCCTGGCCACAGACAGAAAGTGAAAACAGACCAGCCTTCTGTTGCAGCATCAAATCAACAGCCTGACTCCTGAGGCCAGCACACGTCTGATCCGTGTTTTTAAGTGAATTCCCATCTGCTTTGATCTTGCTCCCCCAGTCTTTCAGACACCATCACAGATGTGGTGAACTCTTAAGCAGCCATTGTGAAACCAAACAGAGAAAAAGTGAGCTGTACACACATGTGCAGGAGTACACACACACACACATACAGGGGAGGCTGACAGAGGTATAAATGACGCTGAGACAAAGACAGACACCCACATAGAGAAGACTAGAGGGGAGCGAGAAGGGAAGAGAAGCTCTTGGTTAGAAACGTCTCAGTATGGAAAAGACACCAGGAAAAGCTGGAGAGACAGACACTCATGGACTAATAAAAGCACAGGCCACGGCGAAAAAGAAGGCCAGCAGAGAGACAGAGACCAAGAGAGAGAGAGATCAAGAGAGAGGGCAGGGAAATGTGTATATGCTGTGGGGGGAAACCTGTTCAGACAAATTAGCCAGGGAATGCCCACCATGTGTATATCCACCGTGTCACACTTGGGCCTGGTGTGAGGGGTGTCTCAGACTCTAGGTGCTACCCCAGTGTTGGACCCTCTGTATTTTCCACCAGAATAGATCCCTGGAGGCTCAGCCAGGGTTTTTCAGGTAGGTGAATGGTAGAATATGGTGGAGATTAGAGACAAAGGGGTGCAGGGAACAGAGTGGCCGTGGGCAGGGATTAGAAGTACAGCAGGGGACAGTGTGGAGCTCCACGTACCTTGCTAAGGTGAAGAGAGATGGGAGTTGGGGAACTGAAATCTCCCACCAGTTACCCCACTGCCTCTCTTCCAGATTCCCTTCCTTTCAGGTTAACCAGCACCCTCATCATCACCCCCATATCACAGAGCTCTTCTAGCCTCAAATTTGGAATAGTTTCCTCCCCTGTCCTCTGACCACATTGTTTGGGCCTCTAGTTACAGCACTCATCATAGCCTGCCTTGAGTTAAAAGTAACTCATGTGTGTATTTCTGGCTGTCCCACTCTCCTGGAGCTCCTGATAACAGAGATGCTTTGATTTACCTTTCTTGTCTCTTCAGTCCCAGCAATGCTCCTTAATAATAAATACTCCCAATGATAACAGGCTGACTGTGCGCCAGGCAGATACCTTACAGGCATTGTTTCTAGTATTTTAATCTACTACGCAGAGGCAGTTACTACCTCTGTTTTAAAGAAATAAAGCTCAAGATGCTGACATTATAGCTGTTCAATGGCAGAGATGGGATTTGAACTTAGGTCTTTTTGCACTGCAGTTGTTGCTCTTAACCTTGTGCCATGTTTGGGAATATCAAAGAATATCTATCCTTCTGAGTGAACTGGATTTATGGCCTCTACCCCAAAGAGAGGTATTCGTGTCCCTAAGTTTTGCTTATCTGCCATTTCTGACCTCTACTTTATGTTTTAGGTTTCCATCTCAACCCTGTTCACCTCCTAGGGTGGAGAGCAGTGATCCTTAGATCTGAATCTGATCAAGGTCCTATGGCCATGCAGGACTTGCCCTGTGTGCTGCCACCAACATAGAAGAAGATTGATGTAAACGTCCTTACATGAAGGAAAGAGTGGTACCCAAGGCTGGAACATCCATCAACAGCATCCAGTGAGCTTTTAGTCTTTAAGCCACCAAACGTTGCCAGCAGGAAAAGTAGTAATGATAAATAGCTTTTGCTTATGAAGTGCCCAAGCTTTACTAAGTACTTTACTGATACTATTTCACTTATGGGTCACAACAACCCAGTGAGCTTGGGGCAATTACTACTCAGAGGCATCAAGCAACTTTCCCCCAGTCACACAAGTGGTAAGTATTGGACACAGTAAGCAGAGTGAAGGACCTAGCTCCTCTTAGAATCTCAGTACTGTGGCCACTACTGTCTTCTCCTGGGACCTCCACCTTAGATTCTGGCCATTGTGCAAACCTGTCCCAGGGCCTCTCCACCCCTTCCTGATGCTGTCCCTTACCTGGAATACTCTTTCCTCTTCCTCAGTGGCATCCCACTTCCCCTTCTCAATATTGACCTTACTGGGGTACTAGGCTTTTAAGCTCTGTTCTCCAGCTCCCTCTTCCATCCTCACCACAACACTGGGATCCAAAGCCAGGCCAATCTTTGTGTATGAACACATCTCATGTTCCCACTGAGCCTGGCAAGGACAGAGAGGTCAAATCCTATTTTTTGCTTATTTTGTGTTGCTTTTTGCAGTGTTGGGGATCAAACCCAGGGCCTCATGCATGCTAGGCAAGCGCTCTACTACTGAGCTGCACCCAGCCCTCAAGTCCCATTTTTAATTGAAAACTAGAAAGTGACCTCTAAATCTATCATAGGACGGAAAATTCTTACAGCTTCTCACAGTCATGCACTTCTTATGGGCACACACGTACCATCATACAAGAGTACAAACATTCATTCTCATGCCTAAATACACACCCCTCCCGCACCCTGCGTTTTTTCAAGCACACATCTGTCACTGCGCCCATGGGCACCTGTCTGCTCCATGTCCTGATGTGATGATGTCCCCAAGGCCTAGAACCAGAGAGGGAGTGGAGTCAAACACATGAGAAGCCAGGGAGCTGGGCAGCAGGAGAGGGGGGTGGTGAAGGCTGGGCTCTGTCTCCCCGGATTTATCAAACGAGCAGTAATGAACCCCCTGGGCCGGAGCAGTCGCTGAGCTCTCTACTCCAGATCATGCTGCTGGTTCAAAGGGAAGCCTTTGATTTGCACCGACAGCTTTCAGATGGAACTTAATCTCTCAACTCTACTCTCCCTCCCTCTCCCTGCTCTCACATCTTCCCTCTTCCCCACCCCCACTGGACTTTCTTCCCCACCATCCCAGCATTCCCTTCCTGTGTTATGAAAAATACAGCAACCAGAGAGACCCTCACATTAGGTTATATCCTCTCAGAGAAAAGATTTTGATTTTCTGGGCTGGGCCAGCAAAAGGGGAAGGAAAGAAGAAAGGGAGAAACTGGCCTTTTTGATGGAGGAGGAAGGAGGAAAAGAGAGAAAGAAAGAGATATCGCACTGGGCTGGGGCTGGGCAGAATGAGGATAGGCAGGAGAGGAAGACAGAAACCAAGACCAGCTGTGGCATGCAGAACACTCCCTTAGACCTGACGCTCCCAAGAGAGAAGTTCTGTGTCTGCCCAGCTGACTGGGTAGGAAGGGTCTGGATCTGTTGATTTTGTCCTATACAGAGCCCAGGCCAGAGTTCTATAACGTCAAATTTTGTCCTATACAGAGCCCAGGCCAGAGTTCTATAACGTCAAATTTTGATGTGACTTTAGAGGCTGTGACAGATAAAGCTTCAGGAATCAGAAAACTCCACTGACTTTCTCAGAGGAATAGCAGAGTAGATGTCAGGTGCTATGGATATGGGATGAAGAGTCTAAAATGACAAACTATGCCCCAGATATTCAAGGACTATCATCACTGCCCACCAGAGCAGTCTGGCTTCATTTCACTGTGCAAGTGGAAAACACACTGGGCAGTGGGGACCTCAAATGCCTTGATCTGGCTTTTCTTCACCACCTTCCCCATGTCATTCTGGTCCCAGTAAGCCCAAGAACTACTCTTTTTCTTCACCCCAACCTGTTTGGCCACAGCACCCCAATGTCCATCTCTAAGTCTGGGGTGTAGGGAAGATGGCCAAAGGGGACCCTTTCCAGGGACCAGATGGGATTTTATAAGTGGCCACAGTCTGGCCTGGTTTTCTTGCATTTGGGCAGACCACAAGGGCCAGCTGGTGTTCACTGTGACAGGGAAGTGGGTTTACTGGTCTTGCCCAGTGGATTAATCACCCAAACGGGCAGTAACAGAATCCTGAAAGGCAAAGAGGACAGACCCAGCAAGGTCTTGCCAGGGAGAAGCAGAAGTCTTTTGGGTCAGGAGTTAGGAGGTATGGTCATACCTTGTCCTGGCTATGCTACCAACCAGCTGTGAGACTTTGGCGAGGTCATGTCACTCCTCTGGATCACAGCTTCCTAAAATTGTAAAAGGAAAGAGCCCAATAACTTTGCCCCAAGAGTCTTCCCAGCTCTGATGTTATAAGATTCTACCCCTGCCTCCTGTTTACCTAGGGCCCCCTTGATGATACTCCTAAGGACTCAGTCCATGCTCTGTCACCTTTAGACTGAGGGGAAGTGGTGTACCTGGGACCCATCCTGGCATTTGCTCCATAGCAGGATGTGAAGGAAACTCCACAGGTTTGTGACAATAAGAAAGTGGCAACAGAACCCAGATCAGATACCCAGCACAGAAGAGAGGCCATTCTTTATTTTCCTCTCTAAGAGAACTCTAAGGAATTCTAAGAAGTTCCTTATAGCTGCTTCAACAGGCTTTTGGTGGAGGAATGGAGGAGAGAGGGTAAGCAAGCCTGGGTCCCTAAGCCATCTGCCAGTCCAGGCCTATTCACAAGGACTTTGGGCTCCAACTGAAAAAGGCTGGCAGTGTGACTGGGAACACTCCCACCTGTCCCATTTGAGCCTCCAGCCCCTGAGGCACCTTGGCCAGACCTCATCTGACAGCTCTATGCAAATGTGACCTGGCAGGGGACCCTGACAATGTTTTATACGAAGGACATAGCATGGTGAGCCCAAGTAGGGTTGGCTATAGCAGGTATGACAGGAGGGAGAAGAGAGGGGGTGGCAGGGCTCATGGATGGTTTTGCTGAAAAACTGAATTTCCATCTGTCTTCAGTGGGTAAGGGAAGGGAGGTGAGGGAGAGAGGAGGCAGGTGGCAAGCAAGGTCTTACTCAGATGGGAGACAGAGGCTAAGAAGAAAGAGAAAGAGAGAGAAAGAGAGAGAGAGAGAGAGAAGAGAGAGAGAGAGAGAGAGAGAGAAGCAGAAACTAGGACAGAGCCAGAGAAGCTGCAAGAGATGGGGGACTGGGAGAGCAGGCAGAGAGGAAAAACAGCCTCTGCCCTTCACCCCCCCTCCAGGCCCTGCATCTGCCTTCCCCTAACCCACAGAAGCAAACGGATGAGGGGCCAAATGTCTGCATCTCCCAAAATTGAAGCAAAAGAAATGGAGACCTAGGACAGTGAAAATGATGCCTCCATATTCAAAGACAAAAGGAGACCAGAGAATGGATGGGAAGAAAGAAAACAAAGCAAAGTAGTTAAAGAGAAAACTGGGTGTGGGGGGATGAGGGGCTGTAAAAGATTTTTTTAAGGTCAGGTAAGGAAAGAAAAAAGGAGGAAGGATGGAGCTGAGGTGACACTGGTGTGAAAGAGACAGAGAACAAGACAGAGATAGGAAAGGGCAGGAAAGAAAACTAAATTAAATTAGAAAAAGAACCTGGGGCATGCACAAGGCTCTGGGTTCTATCCTTAGCACTTGGAGAGGGAGAGAGGAAATGAGAAAGAGAGATAGAGACAGAATGATTGATAAAAACCAATCCAAAGCCATTCTGGAAGAAATGGAGGGACAGGAAATGTGTTGGGGTAGGCATGTCTCCAACTTCCTTGTGGCTTTTGAGCCTCCCAAGAGGAGACACATCCTAGAGGCAGGCACATCCCAATGCCTCCTCCTCCTGGCAGGACAAGACGGAGGTGAGGAATCTCCCTGGAAGCTCTCAAGCACTAAAAGAAAAAAGGACAGCCAGCACCAAGAGAGGGATCCTGGAGAAGAAGGATAGGAAGATGGATAAAGAGAAGTGAGACTCAAGAACTAAAAGCAATGAGACCATTTAGGAGAGGAAAATGAGAATGAAGATAAGGACAGAGGAGCAAGAGGGAAGAAACTGGAGAAGGACAGGGAGGGGAGACAGACAAAACAGCAGCATGGGGGTTGTACAGGCAGACAGTGCAACTGTAGGGTCTGGGCAGATTACCACCCTTTGGTCTCATCTGAAGGTCTTGAGCTTTTAGGTCAAAGAAAAGAAGCAAAATCCTTGAGAAACGGAAGGAATTTTTGAAAGGATTAGCCAAGGAGGGAGAGGAGAAGAGAATGAGGTAGGCTGTATATGAAGCAATTCAGAAGGCAGCTGAGGTCAGGGTTCCCATCTCTCCTATAACTAAGACTTGCTCAAGCACCAGCTAACAGTCTTTTCCTAACACAGGTGTCCTCAAGGGGCTCTGATCCTTCCCTCTGAAAACAGAGGCTGTTGACTTACTCCTCATTTCCTGCCCTCTAGCCTTTGACTGGGCCAACACAGACTTTTTTCCTGGGTCTAACCCCATTCCCTCCTCCATGGAAGCCATCTCCTCTAGCCCCTCCCCCAGGCATATGGGCAACCAGCCTCTCTGCAGCTCCATAATTAAGACAAGAGCCAGTTCTGCTCTGAAAGCTTCCCTCTGCCTGCTGTACATTCTTAGTTACCGCTATTATGAACAGAGCTCCAAAGTACAGCTTGAACACAGCTAGAATGGTACCTCTGAGTCCCTCTCAACAGGCTCAAAGCCCAGGAAGAAACATAGGCCAGGCCCCAGACCCCTTCCACAGAGGTCTCCTGGCACTTTTAGGAGCAGTTTCCCAAATAAACAGCTCAGCTCAGATCCAGAAAGGTCTGGGCAGCAGTGAGGAGAGCATTCTTTGCTTTACCCCAAAACCAAAAGAGCCAGAAGGAAATCCAAGTCTTCTGACACCAGGCAAGTGTTCTTGAGGACACTTCTCTGCTTCTTAGTTTAATGAGCTTTATTCATTTTCCATGCCCCCAACCCCAACCTCCCCTAGCAGATCCAGGTATAGGTATTACTCTTCTTCCAGAATCTGGAACTCATCACCACTGATGACTTTGCACTTCCGGATGGGTCATCTGAGTCTATGATTAAGACGAGCAACCAGTGTGGGAAGGGATGGGGCTCTGACGAACCCCATGGACACCTGGTTCTCCACTAGTGCCTCTATGAAAAGCTGACTTGACAGGTACTGTACATGCCCAGAACCAGGTATGTCAACAGACCCCATAACTGCACCTTCCACATAAGCTGCATTATGTACATTAATGACTGCACATACCAAGGAGCAGATTTTTTTTTTATTCACATTAAGTTTGGGGTTTTTTTTTTGATAGTAGTACTGGTATCTGAATTCAGGTTCTCATGCTTACTGGGTAAGTGCTCTACCACTTGAGGCACACCCTCAGCCTCACATAAGAACTGTCTAATAACACATAGAAGTGTTTGGACACCCATCAATAGAGGTGTCCAAAATAAGGCTGATGACTACCTTGTGTCAATGTTCCAGAGGGTTCTGGGTAATATTTAAGATCCCTTTCAATTCTGGTGCTTTATGCCCATATATTTTCTCCTTTCTTTGGAAACACCCACCAAATAATCAATTCATGACAATTCAATCAAGGTGGACTTGAAGTTTAAAAAAAGGAATTCTGAACAGAGGCACCTGGAGGGAAAAGAACAGGTCAAAAATCGGATAGAAGTCAAAGGTGAAATCAGAGGTAAAATCTTTGCCCCTTGCCAATTAACCAGGGATCTTCAACACCATAGTGATAAAACTTGAATAAAATCATGAGACTTAGACCTGCAGTTTAGTCTGTATTTTATTCTGGTTTCTTATACAGATGACTAGATGGTAAACTCCTTGAGGCAAAAGATGTAATCTCAATTGTGCATCTTCTGAAGTGAATGGCATGATACTGCCTTGCACAACATGGGTACTGAAATAAATGCCTGACAATTAATGGATAAAACAGAAAAATCAAAGCAATTGATATCTATTCATTTACATAATAAATATTTATTGAGCACCTACTACACATACCAGGACTTCTAGAATCTGGGATGCAAAGACAGATACAGCAGACCTGTCATTACCTAGTAGACATCTTGAGTATACAGGCAATACAGTGAGATGTATGCCATGATGGAACAACATGGAGTAAAGTAGGAGGTCAAGGTAAGAATCCTAGAGGAAGTGATGTTTATGCTTGGCTCTGAGGGATGAATAAGAGTTTTCCTGGTCAAATGGGAAAGAAGGGAGAAGCAAGTGTTCCTGGAAGACAGAAGGCATGAGCAGCAGTGTGAAGTCAGGAAAACATAGCCCTTTAGGATCCAAGAAATAGTTGAGCCTTGCTGCTGTTTCCTAGAAGCCAGACACTGTGCTTGGTGGGATAGGCATGCTGGATAAATGGGAAGTTGTCCCTGCTCTCACATTCTACCAGGGGAGACGAATGAGGTAACAAGTTCAGGGCTGTATAGTTCTTCCAGCGTCATGCTGTGCAGCAGTGACCAATGCTGAAGGATAAATCAGGGTGGACATTGATGTGGTTACTGCTACAACCCACACATTCTAGTTAACGTGGATATGTGGGTCTAACAGCCTTAGTAGTTGCTCGTTGAATGAACATCTTAAGGAATATTTGTTAAATGAACAAATAAACTGCATTTTGTCACATGCCTGATTTCTAAACTGGTCTTCCTTGAGGCTAAGACCCACATCTTGTTGGCTTTTTAGTTCTAGACCCTTTCTATAGCCATAAAGTTTGGACACCGGTGATCTTGCTGGGCACACAGTAGATATTCAATAAATACACACTTCCTGATGAAAATTGCATTGAGCCTCGAAGATGAGAAGGATTTCAACAACCAAAGAACTGGGGGAAGGGCATTTCAGACAAAGGGAACAGCATGAGCCAAGACATGGAGACATAAAAGTCCAGTGAGCAGTTGGAAGTGGCTGGGATTCAAGTACATATAGAAATTGGAAGCAAGATCAGACATCTTTAGACATTTAACACTTTCTCTTTCCGGGAATTCCTCAGATACTTCTGGGCTGGTGAGGGAAAATGGACATAGAAAAAACGAAAGCACTACAGATTCAAAAAGACAGAAATGTAAGCTGTGACTGATCCAAGTTGCAGAGAGCTATGTGCCAACCTAGTAAGGTTTGGGGATAGGTTTGAGAAGAAACAAAAGGAACAAGGCTGCATATAGCTGTGTATGTTTTGTGTGTGAGTGTATATGCAGGGGAGGTCCTGGCTTACATTCATCTATCTAGGGAAGCATGTGTGTTACTGAATGTCTGTATACAAGTACTGGTATGTAGTCACCAAAAGGCAGAACAGGGCACTTTCTGCCTATAAACCAGGATGTGCTGTGCTTTTCCAATT